CCCACACCGCTTGCAGCTCCTCATCCCTCCCCTGCAGCAATAAGCACCACTTTTAGCCAGCTCCAGCTCCATTCCAGCGGCCATGCCCAGCAGAGCCCGCTCTGCCTCCCTCCCGCCAGATGCGGAAGCCCCGCGCCTAACTGTGCTCCTCCGCAGCCGCACAGTGGGGCCTGGCGGGGGGCTGCCCGGTGCCTGAGCTCCGATGGGGTGGCCATGCTTGTGGCTATATCTCAGGGGGCGGCTGCAGGTGGGAGGTGAGAGCCTGGTCCCCGCACACTGGCAGCAAGCGCCCATGGCCGGGGCCAGCACCTCTCAGGCTTAATAGGCTTAAAATCGCCCCTGGCACTGATACTATCAGGTGTGGGGAATACATGGGTGTGGTCTATACATGGACTCTTTTCCGAAAATACAATTTTCCACAGGTTATACATTGGTGCAGGTTATATCAGTGTTTGGGCTATATGCGAGAAAATACGGTACTTTGCCCTAAATTGAAGCAGTGTTTTTAAAAACTCACCGTTTCAATTTAGGGCCCCTGTTTCGTCTAAACACACCCTAAGTGTTTTCTTATTCCTACAGCCTCTGAGAAACCATTGACTATGCACTTACGTAATATGCCTTCATTTTAGCTTTAAATCTAAGTTATCAAAAGCTACAAGGAAGATGACTCACTCACCTTTTATACAAATGTTTTTTAGACTCCCAAGTACCACTTAGATGAATGATAAGTGGAATAAGACCTGGTACTTAGTTTGATCTGTATTTTGCTCTTCTTATCCATAGATCTCAAAGCACACCTTACAAAAGTGCAGGGATCATTAGTCCCATGTGGAAACTGAGGCATAAAGTGATAAGATGGCTCTGATTGTTAGTGGACCTGCATACTTATCACTCCTCCTAGTATTCATTTCCTTTCTCCTTTTTGCACCTAAAAATTACCTTCTGATGTGAAATCTGTTTCCTGAAGATGTGTATCAAATATGCAAATGGTCAGAGTAAAGGAATGTAGGACCAGAAACTATGCTGGAAGCCAATATCCGAATTTCATCAGTAATTCTTCTTTCCCCCCAAGTATTCCTAAATGACCTTGCAGCTGTGTCTATCTGGCTGCCTCAGTTGTACTTAGTATCTGCTTAGGCCTAAATCTTAGCACTGATGCACAGTCCTAGCTGCCAAGAAGTATGCTGGGGTGTTCCCTTACGGGCTGGGTGGAAACGAATCCTTTTTAACATGCTGTGTTGCCATACAAGATGCACATTGCCTACCTCTTCTGTTACATAGGAGAGAGAGAGAACCCCATGTAACAGATCTACCAGCTCCAATCCACTCCCAAATTCCAATCCACTCCCAAATCCCTGCTGTGATGTAGCATTCAAAAAGCTACAGAGCAGCTGAGCCCCATAGAGCTCAAGGACACCATGCCTGTTCTATGTGCTTGTCATATCCTTCATCCACTTCCTACACAGAAGTGTACCAGTTCTGGTGCTAGCAGGGCCCTCTGTGCCTGCAGAAAAAAGTCAGGTTCCATATATCTTTTCAGCAGGGTGGATCTATAAAGTGGCTTTTTGACCTTAGTGAGAGTTTGATATGCTGCGTGAATTCAGAATACACAGTGGAGGTCATGAGTACAATCAGAATGGAGAATTTGGCCCCCGAAATATCCTTCACAGAACAGAATTCCCCTTTTATTTTCTTAATTTCACAGCATTTTTTTAGATTTAGCAAAGTATACATTCCCTGAGGACTATGTGCCTGCCAAGTCTGAAGTTTTAAATCCAAACCATTTCTGAATTCTCCAAATGCAAGGACAGCATCTACATGATTGTGTGTGTGTGTGTGTGTGTGTGTGTGTGCGCGCACGCGTGTGTGTGTAATGACTGAAAAAACTTTTTCCATGCTGAGTTAACTTCCATGCTTCAAACTACTCAAACCTGCAGCAACAACAAAAATCCCAACAACAGGGCTTGATTCTCCTCTGCTTTGCACCTTTTGTAGTCATTAACACCTAAATAAGTGCAAAACAGGTACAAAATGCAGAACTGTTGCTTTAGAGCTACTTTGTACTGGTTTAAGTGACAGCATAAGGTACTCAGAAGTAAAAAGCAATGACCATTAACAACAATAATGGATTATTAATATGATAAATTCATATAAATATTAATATAGATTAATGTAAATACAGTATAAGTATTAATAATGCTCTTCTTGAACACCAGAGACAGCATGAGACACTTAATGCTGATAAAGTTCTAAAGCAATAAGCTACAAAAAAATGCCACCTCAGCCATTCCTATATTATCATGGGTGTAATGTTTTCATAAAGTAGGAAAAATAATTCAAAGAGAAGATTCACCATTGGGTTACAAAAACAGAGGATCCAGTTCTCATCCCAGGGAAAGTCTATGTGGAGTAGTTAAAAAGTACAAGCTTCCTGCTTTGGACATAGTAGGCACATTCAGATGAGTGTGGACATGCCATCTGTGGCACCCACAGATACCTGCACGCACTGCATATGCATGTGTTCCCCACACTGTGGGGGTTTTTTGACCCCAGGACATCTTGAAATCAAAAAAACCCATGCCTAAAAAAAGCATGGCAGCACACATGACAGCACTGTGTGCCATCCAAAACTGGAGCCTGGCCAAGGTCTCTGCTACAGGAACACTGTCTCTACAGCTCCTAGAAGCCCCCAGGACTCCAAGTAAGGCTGCTGGGGCCAGCACAGTTGCTGGTCTCAGCCTTTCCTACCCCACCCAGGGCAATGAGCCATGTGCCAGAGCATTCGTGGCATGGATGTTCCCTGGGGACAAGTAGTGGTAGCTCAAGATGTGCCGCTGCTACTTTTCCCTGGGGAAACACAAATGAGCTTTAGCTAAAGCACACCACCACCATTTTGAAACATGGGACACTGCATGTACAAGATGCTGCATCATTTTAATTACAGTGACTCCCAGGAGCCGCTCTAATTAACCCTCCCCCTCCTCCCCAAGCACATGTTTAGACACCCACCAGTAATGCCAGTATAAAAGTAGTTAGATATAACTTATTCCAGTTCAAGTGACAAAATAAATCTTTACAAGTATACCTTATATAACACTAAGATTTATACTGTACTAGCTAACATGGTTAAAAAAAAGTCACACTCCTAACTGAAAACAGTGAATTTTGCCTACTTGGCAAATTTGTTCTGATGCAGATAAGACTTCCAACTATTTATACTGTACTGCATTGTTAAGTTATTCCTGTTTTATACCAACACATATAATCGAAGAATCAAGTCTAGAAGATTTGCTACCTACTTGAGTTACAAGATAGGTTTCAAAACTTCTTCCCGTTGGGAAGTCACTTTTTCTTTCTTGAAGTGTAAGTACATTATGTAGTGTGTAAGCAATCTCAGTGCAGGCCTCAAAGCAAGCATCAATCACATCAGAGTAACTTATGCAGAAGGCTTGACTCATATCTCTTCTGTGTCTCATTAATGCCATGCAACTCATCAAACATCTCCCTGTCTCATGTAGACCTGCTACTATTGCAGTTTTATTTACTTGAATTTATAACCGTCTGAACTAATAAAGATCCCTGAAAGTTTAAACTAACCTGCTTTTCTTTCAGTGCTTCTTCCTATTGTCTAATTTTAAATGAAGAACATCCCTTATATTATATCTTATAGTAAGGCAAAAACACACAGCTATTTTTTCCCAGTTTTAGCCCTTTGAGCATGGGTGGATCTAGAATTTTGAAAAATGGGGTACAGATAGTGAGGTGCATCATCATATATAAAAAAAATATGTATTCTTCTCCAGTTAAAAAGCAACTAGAAGTGTTAGTAATATGATAGAGGACCAAGGTTTTATTATTCCATTTGAAACAAAAGAAATAGAAATTCATTAGAATGAGCTAAAAACAATGTGCAGGACTGTGAAATAGGAGCTACATTACCAGGAGCAGCTACAGACAGCAAAATGACACAGCAAAGGATAACTTAGCTTGATTAGT